TCCAATTATATATATATATATAATTGGATGCTTTTTTAATTATTATTTTTTATCACTTTTTATATATCACTTTTTGAGATATATTTTGAAAGCATAATTAAACTAGTTATTGTATATGATACAATGTTAATATAAAATATGAATGTAATATGAACAATATCAAATTATTATCAAAATTAAAAATATCTTCTAATATAACAATGTAATGGCAGGTAAATATTAATTGGATTATTGAAATATCCATATATTAAAGTTGTTTTTTTAAATAGATGAGGATGACATTGATAAACATCTTTCAAAAATCAATTTGGAAGAACTGGTAGCAAAAGCAGGCAGTTCAGATCCAACAATACAATTACAAGCTGTACAATCAGCAAGGAAATTATTATCGTCAGATCGTAATCCACCCATTGATCCATTGATAGATAGTGGTATTTTACCAATTTTAGTTCGCTGTCTCGAACAGCATAACAAGTAAGAACAATTTTTTGTGGAAAAATATATAGTGTTATAGTTCATTTTATTACATAGTTATTTATTTATTACATATTTATTTATTACATATTTATTTATTACATATTCATTTATTACATATTTATTTATTACATAGGTATTTATCTATTACATAGTTATAGTTTTGGAAGTAAAATGAATAAATTATGTATTAAATTATATTTATATCTAAGTAATTGTGAAACGCTTATAAAATAATTTTTAGTCCATCGTTGCAATTTGAAGCAGCCTGGGCTTTAACAAATATTGCAAGTGGAACATCGGCCCAAACGCAAGCTGTGGTTGCAGCTGGTGCAGTACCACTCTTCTTGCATTTGTTGCTTTCAAGTCAACAAAATGTATGTGAACAAGCAGTATGGGCCTTAGGTAGGTTTTCACATCTGGTTATAAAAAAATATTTATATTGTAAAATATATCTTTTAATATATTGTTATCAAAAATATTTTTTATTGAAGAATCAAAATGTTCTATATATAAATTAGTTTGAATTAAACTTTTTACTGGTAACTATATTATTAATGTTAAATATAAGATTTTTATTTTTTTGTTTTTTTTGTTTTTTAATATATATATATGTATATATTTGCGTGTGCATGTATGTATGCATGTATGTATGTATGTATGATGTATGATGTATGTATGTATGTATGTATGTATGTATGTATGTATGTATGTATGTATGTATGTATGTATGTATGCATGTATGTATGTATGATGTATATATGATGTATGTATATATGTATGTATGATGTATATATGATGTATGTATATATGTATGTATGATGTATATATGTAAAATCAGAAAAAATATACATATGTATTATTATGTTATTGTAGGTAACATTATTGGAGATGGTCCAATACCCAGGGATTATGTCATTAACCTTGGTGTTGTACAGCCATTGCTAACATTTATTAAACCAGATATACCTATTACATTTCTACGTAACGTAACATGGGTTATTGTAAACTTATGTAGAAATAAAGACCCACCGCCACCAGTTCAAACCATAAAGGATATTTTACCTGCTCTAAATGTGCTTATTCATCATAATGATGTTAATGTAAGTATTATTTTTATATAGATGTAAAGATAAAATAATTATGTCATAATATTAAAAATAAGAATTTAAGAAAATAGAGTAATTTTTGTTTTCATTTAAATTATAAATTATTAATTGGTATAATTATTATAAATTTAGTTAATCCTTTTTATTTTTTTAATTTTAAAAAATTACAAAAATTGTCATGAATTTTATAGAATTGTTCTTTTTATCCCTTTTAAATATAACGGATTATTTTATTTTAATATATTTACTTCATTATTGATAGTTGATAAAAATTGTCTTAAAATAATCTTAAAAATTATTTTAATAGATTCTTGTTGACACTGTATGGGCCTTGAGTTATTTAACTGACGGTGGTAACACACAAATTCAAATGGTTATAGACAGTGGTGTTGTACCACGTTTAATACCACTTCTTTCGCACAAAGAAGTTAAAGTCCAAACTGCTGCTCTCAGAGCAGTTGGTAATATTGTAACTGGCACAGATGAGCAAACACAAACTGTCTTAAATTGTGATGCACTTTCACATTTCCCTAATCTATTGACTCATCCAAAAGAAAAAATTTGTAAAGAAGCAGTCTGGTTTCTTTCAAATATTACTGCCGGTAATCAATCTCAAGTTCAAGCAGTTATAGACGCTGGACTTTTACCCCTCATTATTCGTAATTTAGCAAAGGTGAACATATATGATATAAATTTTATGTAAAATACTTGTTATAATGTTATTTTTCATATTACACATGCAATATTATACTTTTTTATAGGGTGAATTCCAGACACAAAAGGAAGCAGCATGGGCTATTAGCAACCTTACGATAAGCGGAAATAGAGATCAAGTTGCACGGCTTATACAAGAGGGAGTTATTCGTCCATTTTTGCGATCTTTTGTCTTGTAAAGATACCCAGGTTGTACAGGTGGTTTTGGATGGAATTCATAATATGCTTAAACTTGCTGGACCGCAAGTTGAACATTTGGCCAATATGATTGAAGAATGTGAAGGTAAATGCCTTATTATTTTATATAATTTTCCATAAAGAATATATGAATGATTTAAAAAAAATATATATTTGTATATTACTAATTGCATAACTCTATTTAAAACAACTAATTTTTTTTACATTAATTGATTTGTTTCATTCTGTATATAAAAATATTAGATATCAAAAAATAAATAGTTTACGAGATATTTGATATTTTACATCAAAGTATGCCAGAATAAAGTATAAAACATCTCATTAACTATTGATTTTTTGATAATTGTACCTTAAGGCTTCTATTCAGCTAAAAACTCCACATTTGACATAACGTCGCAATAAAAATTAGCTCATTCATCCTTGTTCATCTTTATTTATCTTTGTTTATCTTTATATTAAAATGCTGACGTGCTGACAACGAAATTTTTTATTGTACCTAATTTCATTATTATGTGCTAATCGTATGAATGTGACTTGTTTCGTACTTATTAAATTCATAAAAATGGACAGTTAAAGTTACCTTTGAATTTTATACGTAAAAACATATTTTTCTTCTTTCAACAACTAATGTTTTCTGCTTGATAGGCTTTATTTTATATATCTTTTAGTTATTTATTGACTTATTATATTAGGAAGAGAAAGGATAATAGCCATCCATTTTCACAAATATCTTAAAGCCATTTCAAGTGTCGTTTTATGTCAAATATTTTTTTATTTATAAATAGGTGCAATAAATTTTACTGTGTCATTTCTCGCCTATGACATCACGATTCCAATATGGCCGCGGCGACTATTCAGAAACCTTAATACTTTTATATTTAAAATAATTAAAGGAATCATACTATATAACACAAAGTATATAATTTTATTTTAAGAAATGATCACAAAAAATATCGACTCCATTTGTGAATGAATCAATATATAATTATATGCCTTCCTTAAAATCTTACAATTTCTGAAATGTTTTTCCATATCTAATATATTTTTCAAGATATTTACCTATAATTAAAATTAAAAGGAAACAGTTTATAAACAGAATATATTTATATATATATTTTTTTGTTTAAAGGTCTGGATAAAATTGAGGCATTGCAAAACCATGAAAATGTAGATATTTACAAACTAGCATATGATATCATCGAGCAATACTTTTCAGACGAGGTAAAGCATTACAATTTCTGATGGTAATTAACATAAATTTTATTTTCATATATAATCTTTTTATTTTTCAATTTTTAGACGGATGATACACCATTGACATCGCACGAAGGAGCTTTTGAATTTGATCAAACGACGAGTATTCCGAGTGAGGGTTTTAAATTCTGAGAGAGTCTCCACTTTTTATCCGATCGTGCCGTCCCCCGACAAACTCCAACATGGAGCCATCTTGTTTTCTCTCTCCTATTTCTACATCTCCTTCCTATTCCAATGAAAGCATAGCAATATGAACTTACTGCTGCAGAATCAAGAACTATTACGTTTGTTTATACAAACATACAGTGTGATTTATCGATTTTTCCGTATTCGGAAAGCCAGAAAAAAACAGAATGAGGGAACTAGTTATGGAATGAAGGAAATTGGCAATCATCAAATTGAGTATCTGTGGACTTTGATTTTTTTCTTTCCCTTTTCTTATCATGTACGTTATTTTTTCTTTTATAATATACGATAAACATATTAGCAGAGTCTTTAGCTCAACGCAGCTAGCTACATAACGCATATGAGTAAATTATTATAGAAATCGGATAAAAAAAACAGAATCTATCATGCTTGATCATGCTGCTCTCCACTCTAACTCAGGACGAGTTTTGGTTAGCGATATTACTTTTATAAAATAATTCGTGTATATTTTAGGCATGTTAAATTTATAATATTGATTACTAAATAAATGAATCAATTGACTACTCTTTGCTAGTGTAATTGATAAGTGTGGATATTTCTGTAAGAAAAGGAGCAGACAACAATAAAATTTTAACGGGAATTCGGCACAATTTCAACTCAATCGATAATCTTATTTTGATTTCTTGTCATAGAATTAGAAGTCGAATGTGCCTGTGCTAATTCTTACTGTATAACTTACATTTATAAATTATTACTTGAAAAAAAGTATACACGTGAACTTTGTAAATAATCCTAATCTGCAATATATTATACATTTTTTTTATTTAATATTATACAAATATAATTATGAGTTTTCTTTAAATTCGAGTGTGGGATTTGTGAACGGATGTACATCATCTGCATATAATTCCTCGGAGAGCGATTCTTCGGTAATAGTTGGTAAATATGTAGGAAAGTTTGGCGCTGTTTTATGTTTCTTCAAAGGAAGCAATGTGTCATACATATAACAATAAGTGTTGACTTCGCCAGGTATATTATGACCCAAAACCCAAATCACATTATATTTCGTATTTATTCGTAAAATCTACAAAATTATATTTAAAAGATTAGTAAATTTTTAGAAAGTTCCATGTTTTATAAATTTGAGCATTTTGGATATACTTTTATTAGAAATATAATTTTACTTACACGAACACCTCTAATAATTCGCCATTTATTACCCATATGTCCAGGCATTTTAGTGCCGGGCATGACTCGGGCTTTTGTGCCACCTGATCCAATGTTTCCAGGTCTTCTGTGAGTTTTCGTTACACCATGACTAGCAGGCATTCCTTTAAAGCCCCATCGTTTCATAACACCTTGGAATCCACGATCAATCCTAATCGAATTCATATGTTTCTTAATTTTTCGTGAATAATGATTAATTAATGGAATTATTTAATTCTTTTTTTTTTATAGAATAATGCATATAATATAATGTGAACGAATATAAAATTATTTACGTTTTTCCACGAATATCAACGATTTCTCCTGGTTTAAAATGTGTAGCAAATAAAGGAGTTCCCGGTTGCAACGCTGCTTGTGGAGATATTATAAATCTTCTTAGTATACGTTTTGGTGTAACTCCAGCATTATTAAAAATACCGTAATATTCTTTAGTGACCTAGAAGAAGATGTCATCAGTCTTAGAAGTTGCAATAGAAAAATTTGTCGATTGTAATAATTTGAATTACATACCAATTGCGGATCAATATTTTCTGCTCCTACTACGAGACATCCGCGTCTATTTTTGACTTGTATCGGAGGTGTACGGGTCTTTACTGGATTAAATTCTTCTGGTGGTATGTATTTTACTACTTCATTATCGACAATCTGAATTAAAAAATACAGATGTAAATATATATATATATATATTAAAATAATAGCAGTGCTGCTTATTAAGAATCGGAACTATTCTATTTACCTGAAGTAATGTTGAAGTGACTTTCTTTCCATTTTTCAACCATAATGGATAAACTCCTATTTTCTTGGCGATTAAACCAGTACGTTGCATATCTGGCTTCCACTCTACAATGGGCTCGATTGGATCTATTTTTAACGGGGACAATTTTGTTTCGGTAGATGGATATTTGTCTTTAACCACTTCGTCAATAAATTCCTTATTATCTCGTGTTAATTGTTCATCATATAACTATAAAAACATTATTATTTAATTATATTTTTATACTTATAAAGTGCTACTTTTATACTACATATACACATATTTTTAGATTGAAGATTGCACTAAAATAATTATTTATATCCTAGTTACATACAACACGTTGCGGTTTTGGAAGCCATTCTGGATGACGATACCTAGGTTTAGGTAGATATTTGTTCCGTTTTGGAATAGTTATCATATCAATACTATAAATTCATAAAAATATTTATTATATTAAATAAATAAATCTACAATTATTACTTCAACATATTTTATAAATAAGTATAAGTATATAAATATATTTATATAATTTGTATTTTTGTTTAATTTACTATGCTAAATCAAACTTGTTTTATCATAGTTTATTAAATTTTTAAAAATATTTATAAACTTTTGAAATAAAATACATTACTTAAAAAAAGATACATTTTATCAGTAGACTTATATTTTTGCTTTTATATAATAATCTAATTTCCATTTTAATTCTTATTCGGTAGATGAGAAATTTATTTGGATCTATATAAATATATATTGTAAGACTCTGCTTTACATTAAATGCAACAATTGTCAAACACATATTTATAATTTCTATTTAATAAATAAGACTTGTATTATATTTCGTGAAATAGAATATGTTTATAAATACAAAACATGTAACACAAATATACAAAAATATACAACATGGATATAAGAATGTTTCCTATATAAAATTATTTTAAGTAAATTTTTTCACTTAAATAAAAGAATTTACTGACATGATAATCTCAAAAATCAATTGAAAATCTTAATGCTACAATGTAAAGAACCGAAATTTAGATCTGAATGCAAATAGACTCGGAATTTACCGTTCGATTCACTTTCAAAAATTAAAAAAATTTCAGAAAGACAGATATATGTATAAACGATCATTTTTGCATGTACAGTAAATTCTACAAGTAAATTCTACAAGACATTTTATCATACAAAACGATAATGAATAAAATATACCTCTGTTTCAGACATTTGTGGAAAATTTGAAATCCATTAATCGTCTTTAGAAGCGATGTCATTGTTGTTGCATAGATCTCACAATTATTCTTTCAAATTAACTTTTAGATTATCAGATAATTTAATCTAAAAAGGGGAAATTTCAAAGGCACAATTTAGATTTGTTTTGGTGTTTCTGTCAGATGATAAAATAGACAGAGTGCTTTCTAACCCTTAAGAATCACAAGTCCATCAACATATGTAATGGACTGATGCCCGTTTCTATCAACGTAGTTTAAAGAGTTAATCCCTAGTGACATTCGGTTAATCCCTAGTGACATTCGGTTAATCAAAGTTTAACGAAATATTGGTTTCAACCAACGATTTGCTCAAGTTTAAACTTAGTAAACTGAGTTCAATTTAAATGGCCGATTTTGGCCGTTTAGAAGTAGTTAAATTGTGGTTAAAAAATATAATTAGTAATTTTAGATATGACACATTATAACGTTATATTATCGTTCTCGAATGACAAAGATATTATTGAACAATTGAACGGAAAAGAATTAATCAGCATGCAAATCATAACAACGAAATTGTTGATGGCGAATAGAAATAATTTATAATTATTTTGCCAAATATGTAAAATTTTTATCTAAAAATTTTTATTTAATATTTTCTTAGTTTAGTAGATTAATATGTAATTTGAATTACATTAATATCATATTATTATAAAATACACTTTAATTTATAATTATAAATTATTTACTGTATTAAAAAATCTTTTTATTCCTTTTTCAGCCTTTTATAATAAAATAAATTAATAAACTATTACGTCTTACTATATTTACTATACTTAAATTAATATAACAAAAATATAAGTAAAAATATAAATATATTATTATTAAAAATAAAAAAACTCAAAACGAAAAATAATACGAAGATCATACAAATATGAGCTAATAAAACTAAAATATAGATGTAAAAACAAAAAAAATATTTTATCTAGCAGGAAAGAAATATCACAGTATGAAGCATCTGTGCAATAGAATTAAATAGAACTAAATAGATATATTATAAATTTTAATAATTTTTCAACATTTTTTTATTTTTTAACATTGTTTTATCATTTTCCATAATTTGATTCTGTTATTCGTACCTATTATGCATTCATTAATTTATTATTCAAACTTTAGTAATGTGTATAATTATAAGAAAAATAGTTATATTTATTCATGTTATGTTTATTTTATTTTAATTTTCAAAAATTTTTATATAAAATTATGAAACGTAAACATAGAATAAAATATTAACCTGAAATGGTTCTTATATTATTACTTAGATTAATCTTTGCTTATATTAACACAAATATTTTGCTTTATATATTTTATATTAAAATTATTACAATTATGATAAAATTCCAAACATTTCTTATATATTTCTTATATTAAAAAAAACATTTATACTTTAAAATAAAATTTCCATCACAGTTATTATCACAAAAACAAAAACATTTTTGTAAAAAAACATACTTTAAACTAAAACATAACCATTATCAGTTATTTATTGCAAAAGAAAAACATTTCTTATATTATTATAGAAACTTTCTACTTTAATTCTACTTTAATTTCTACTTTAAACAAAAACATAATTATTCTTATTTATCACAAAGAAAAATATTTCTTATATTATTATAAAAATATTTTTACTTAAATATAACAATTATACAATTATACAATTACTATTTTTTTGTTATAAAAATATTATTTCAACTTTTTATATAAAAAATTTATGTTTGTTATTTATGTTTTCTATATTTATTTTTAACTTAATTTTTATGTTATCTCTTTCCAATATTACTTCTTTATGCATTTACAATACACATATAGAGCCAATATTGGACCAATCAACGTTTAAGTTGCAGTAAGTTAACAGAGTTATGGCATATAAATTATAAGTTTAGCTAAACATTTATCACATAACGTTTGTAGAAACCAATCAGCATTAAATCCTAGTTTAATTATAACGGAAGTTTTATTAACTTGGAGATTAAAGGCCAAAATGATAAAAACGGGCATGAGAGTCGGTTCACCAACTCCAGTTAACTTGGCAAAATTGCCAATAGCAAAAAATCCAAAATCGATCTTCTGGTCTCGTAATCTATTCATGACAAAGAGAAAGTATATAGAGTGTGGATTAAAGTATAATAAAGTAAGTATTATATAAATATATGCTTTGAAATATAAATACAAATGTTTACAACAAGAAATTAGATTAGAAATAACAAAGTTTTTATTTTTGCAGTTGGCAGTTCTCAAATTTAATTTACTGTTTAACTTAACCAGAGTTGGTGAGCCAGCCCTGAACATTGCATTAGATAAATGTGCGTTCGCTGTAAAGTGAAAGGAAGAAAACGAGAACGTCTCAGATGCGCACATTTTCAATCGGACACACCACTCACATCAACCGATGCCGATAGGAATTTTCTAGTGAGCCATCTATTAAAAATTTTTTTATTTAATCGACTAATCGGTAATGTGTCCGATTGGACTTCACCCAGAAAAACATTATGTCCATCTTTCTTATTAGTATGTCATTGGTGATTTTGTCCCCGTCCAGAATTGTCGCGATAATAACCTTTGGGTATGGAGCCATATTGGGTATTTACCATTTAGAGTTTATAAATTGCATGATATGTAACCGTATGGAGTGGGGCCTGTTTGACCACGTCAATTGACCACCAGCCACTCATAGTATTTGAATAGAGGAAAATTTCTAGATACTGACCGCTGTGAATGGCTGTGGTCAATCGCAACGTAGTCAAACTGGACGCTTCCAACCATATACATAAAGAAAATGATACAATTGCATTTTATCTTTACAATAAAAATGCGATTAATGTAATTTTTTTATGCATAGAGTGCCATGCAAGTTTATCGATCACAAATATTTAAGTGTTTTCCATTTAAGTGACACAAGTTGACACAAATATCATTTTAGCTTTGTTACTTATTAAATGCTAAGAAAGATAGAATCACATTTGTGTCAACTTGTGTCATTATATGGAAAGCACTCGATGTAATGTAAATAAATTCGGCACTTATTTAGTAAAAATAATGTGAGACAATGTTTGTTATGTTTATAATCATTTAAAGATAATAATTCCGAAATGTTATTTTGTATATTATTTATAAAAGGAAAGAAAATGATATACACATAAATACGTACACTTTATAGTTGCATAGAATATTATGAATTATATTTTTAATATAAAGCTGTAAACATATACATAATTTTCATTTATACGTAAAAAAATTAAAACAAATATTGTAATATTAAAAAATGATGTAAATATATTAATTATTTCGGGAGTTCCTGTGTGACGTGTCGCAATTGGACACGTTCATTCCCATCGGCCGGTGTTTAGAAATTTTCTAGACCACCTATCAAAAGATTTAATATTTCATTCTAATAATCAACCAATCAGCAACGTATGCACTCGAGTGTCACTCCTGATTACATTCTGTTTTATCACAATCATTAACAGCGACTGATGCTTGGAGTTTTTCTATTAGACCAACCAATTAGAAAATTTTATATAAAATTGACCAATTAGCAATGTTGGCAATCGGATCCTACTCTGTTGTAAGCGTCAGATTGGGCTTTCTCGCAGAACCAATGAGGAGCAAACACGATTTAAGCTTTGATGGTGTACTCATATGTCGTGTAACGTCTGCTAGGATGGCAGGGTTAAAATTAAGTTGGGTGTTATTCATAAATTTAACAATATGTGTGGTATTATCGATAGCTGGGTAAGTAAGAAGAATATCTTTTTTCATAATATATTTTGCGCAATAACTTTCTAAACATTTACAAAGAATGAATTACATTAACCTATCCCTTCATCCACTATTTGTCAGCGTTAAATTTGTAGATTATATTACAGAAATTTGTGTAATAATTTTCCAAATCGAACACAGAGATACAAATCTGAACAAAGTTTTTTTATCTTTTTAATTTTATTGGTTTTGGGAATTGGTATATTTGATATATATTGTCATAACACTTACAGGTTTTTTCTCAATTAAATGATGATGCAAAAGTAATGAAGTTTGTCATAATTGTTATTTTTTTTCTTTTTACAGAAGAGATTTTTATAGCATATTAGGTTTATCACATAGTGCTAGTACACATGCAATTAAGAAGGCATATAGACGATTAGCAAAGGAACTGCATCCAGATAAGAATAAAGATGATCCAGATGCTTCTCAAAAATTTCAAGACTTAGGGGCTGCATATGAAGTATTATCGGATCCTGAGAAAAGAGAAATGTATGATAGATGTGGCGAAGAATGCTTGAAAAAGGATGGCATGATGAATAGTAACATGGATCCTTTTGCAAGTTTCTTTGGGGATATTAACTTTCATTTTGGTGGAGAATCACATCAGCAACAACAAACGCCTAGAGGTTCCAATGTTGTGATGGATTTGTATGTCACTTTAGAAGAATTATATAGTGGAAATTTCATTGAGGTAGTATCTTTTATTGTTATAAATGGTACAGTATAATTTTTTCTTTTATACTTATTTCAATACTTCATGTTTTAGATTACAAGAAATAAACCAGTTGTTAAGACAGCAAAGGGAACAAGGAAATGTAATTGTAGACAGGAATTAGTTACTCGCAATTTAGGAAACGGTAGATTCCAAATGATGCAACAGTCAGTGTGTTCGGAATGTCCAAATGTAAAATTGGTTAATGAGGAACGTATATTAGAAGTAGAAGTTGAACCAGGAATGGTAGATAACCAAGAAACTAAATTTACTGCAGAAGGAGAACCACATATTGATGGAGAACCAGGAGATTTGATAATAAAGTAAGCAAATATCTTGTTTATATAAATATCAAATTATTAAATACAATTGAAAAGAAAGTGGTGTTTTAAGTTTTAAAATAAATTAAAATAATAGAATTTTTTTTATATAAATCTTCAAGAAAAACAATTTTAAAAATTCGATATCTATTTAAATTTAATCAAATTTTACCATATGTTATTGTTGATTTTTATTTTAATATTATGGCTTGTTTATTATCAACATTATGTATGCATTGTATATACACTTTGATTTTAATTATCAATTTTTACTAACTAAGGCTGAATATTTAAATATATATATGATTTACTTGATCTTGATTAACAATGTTAATCAAATATTTAATTGATTTTTAAAGTTTTAAAGTTGTTTTTTTCTGAAATTAAACATCTAGACAAAGAATTTATTTCAGTATTTTTAAATGTAAAATTACTTTCTTTTCAATTTATTTGATAAGATAGATTAATTATTAATATTGTCATGTATTTATGATATAATTATTTGTTATAGGATACAAACTATACCTCATCCTGTTTTTGAAAGAAGAGGCGATGATTTGTACACAAATGTTACAATATCTTTGCAAGATGCCCTATTAGGCTTCTCAATAGATATAAAGCATTTAGATGGTCATATAGTAACTATTCAAAGGGACAAAATTACTAAACATGGTGCCCGTATTCGGAAAAAGGGCGAGGGAATGCCTAATTACGATAATAATAACGTCCATGGCGCTTTATATGTTACTTTCGATATTGCATTTCCTGATAATGATTTCTCAGAGGAACAGAAAGAAGGTAAACTAAAATATTCTATATCAATGCGCGAAATTTCGTATGTCATTGCAAATTATAAAAAAAAATTGTTTTCTATTTCAGACATAAGAAAATTGCTACAACAAAGTTCTGTGAATCGAATATACAATGGTATACATGGCAATTAAATATTTAAGAACAGTATGTGTACAAAGTGAATGTGCAAAGTGAGTGCTTTGGTTAGAATGTATGTCTTGATATTGTACGTTTATATTAAAAGCGATACTCTTACTTCCTTACTTGAATATGAAGGGAGTTGATAATCCAATCGATTACTGGATACATAAATTGAGTACACGTGACATTTCCTACATAAATTCTATCACTCATGTATATCAAATATATTTTACTTAGATGCAAAAGACTGGTTAAATCTGGTTCTTGTTGCTAATTATTTAAATTAATTTCTTGTTCTTGTTGCCAATTATTTAAATGAATATCAATAATTAGGCAATTTATCTAGCAATTAAGTTAGTGTGTTCCGCTAAATTACATTACTATAGAACAGATTTAAATATGTGAAGACAGATTTTGCATTTAGTATCACAAAATATGAAAAATAATGTATAAATTAATAAATTATTAATGTGATTAGCCACATTTATATTATTATTATTATTAATAATATAAAGTTGGCAGATATCCTGTATTAATATAAAGAGATTTCTTTATAAGGAAATTCTTCAACATGAACATCAACAAAACCATAATGAATATAATATAGTATCATAATAAATTAATAAACATAGACGTATAAGTTAAATTTTTTTAAATTTAAATTATATATATATATATATATATATATATATATATATATAGATGTTGTTGATATTTATTATCTTCTAATATTTTAGCTATATAATAATTTTATTTTATTATATAAAATTAAAATGCAAAAAATTTTTCAAATGTTACAAAATGGCACTCAAATCCGGGTATTATTCCGTTCATCAGGATCGCTTCGCTACTTCGAGGCTTTCCTCTTTTCTAAAATCGCGAAGTTAAAGCGGCGTCTTTGTGAACTCTTCGTCGGATATCTCGACGTGTCGCCCTTTTCTCCCTTGACGGAAGTTTTATCGACGAAAACTTGACAAGTTATTAATAGTAGTCTTTTCTGGTGTCTCTCTCTCCTTCTCGCTTTCGCAAATTAACATCCCTAAGGCACTTTCAT